AGGCACCAGGCACACTGAGTGTTTGCTGTGACCCACAGAGAACCTCAACGCTCTCACTAGGTACTGAGCAGAGCATCATTTCGGAGTTTCCCAGGTGCTGGCACCACTGCCGAAAATAAGGACGGGGCAGGTGTTTTGTAGACGGCAACAGCTTTTCAAAATGAAAACCACACACTCAGCTCTAATCTAAGCATTATTTCAGCCTCCTCCTTAGCTTGCACAAGCCACCCAGCCTCCCTTTGCCTCCAGCTCTTCCTCTGAAAGATTAGAAAGACCAACGCTGGGCTCGTGATAGTAAGAACAGCATCTTCTAATTGAAGGACTGCAGGGGACAATTCTTGCTGCTTTCGTCGGATGATACTGGGCAGGCATCCTTGTGTTGGTACAGTGTCTCAGCTTCCTTCGTACAGAAACAGTATGCTAACTTCCTCCCCATTTTATGACGGAAATTAACTCCTTCCAGCACACTCTGGCAAGCCACAGAGCTGCCTCTCAGGACTGAAATGCCCACTCCCATACCAGAGGGTACCTGCTGGGTCAGCAGTCTGGCGTCAAGGTTTCTGGTACTTAAACAGGTACTTTGTTACATTAAAATGTTTAAATCAACATAAATATGTTCTTAAAATTTCTTTGTAAAGATAATTGTGTCTAACACTGCCTGGACCCTGTGTTTTTCTAAGCCCCGAAGCAGGGATCAAACAGCTCCTCTCAAAGCCGCCAGATTTGTTTCTTGTGGCTCTGAGGGCCTTTGGTATGGGGCAACTCTCTCATTGTTCCAGGAGAGATCTCCTTGGATGAAGCCACCTTGCCAGTGCAGGTACCTGAATAAAATGAATCATGGTACACAAGAATCCAAGGCAGCCCTATGGACTGGAATTCTTAGTGTTCTCACTCCATGGAGAGAAAGGTACAACTCTGTAATTTTTAGTGTGTGAAGATCAGCTATGTCCCAGCTGGATGAAGAGTTTCAGTTTTGAGTCTAGGAGTGGAAGGCTGTGGTGAAAAGCTCAGGATAAGACTGCTAATTGATTGAGAAAGACATAATTTGTGCCTTATTTCCAGATATGAGACTGAGTTAACTCTGGCCCTGTACCACTGGCCATAGACCTCACACACCCTTGTCTAACTTCTGCTTAAATGTGAAAAGTCTGGACCTTATGGTATGGCTCATCCACTGAAACTGTATCAAAGCTCTCCTTAACAGCCAAAGAGATATGACTTCAGGTCATGTGTGCATGGGTGTTGTTTAGGATCACGAAAGTTTAGAGCTAGATAGAAACCTAGGAGGAATCATCTCAGCAAACAGATTCCATCTCTACAGCTGGCTTCCATGACTAAGCATGGCTGCCCAGAGCAGCCTGGGGACAAGGATGTGAGGGCAAGCCTGGCTCTGCAGGGAGGAGTGCTGCCATCGATTAGTGATGTCTGCCCTGAGTGCAGGCGTGGAAAGTAATGCACTTATGCTCCATGGCTACAAACTGTTTAAAAGTCCCTCATTTATAGACAAGGAAAAGGAAGTCCTGCAGAGATAGAGTCAGAATGAAAACCCCATTTTTCTGACCACATTTTACCATATCTGGCCTCATTATGTTAACATAGCTCAAAAGCCTACTACAGGTCCACAGCCCTTACTAACAATTCTGAAATCCAAAAAGCTCTGAACATATGTATCTTATACTGAGGAGGAAACCCAACTTGAAATAACACAGGGCTACTTATAGTATTTATAGCACTGATTATAGAGTACCACTCCAAACTTTGCTGGGGGGGGGGGCAACTGGCTGATACAAACACAAAAATCCAGTCCTCTCTTCTTCCTCACTTACAAATATATGAGGTCTTTATCAACTAGAAGCACTGCTTCTTATAAGTAAGTGACTCTGACACAAGAATTTCTACAGTGCTGGTCAATATTTGGGTTGAACTTAACTAGGGCACACCAGTAGTGATCTGTCGTGTGGAAATGTATTGCAAATCTAACATGACCATTTTACATGGTAAGTCTATAGCTGATTTTGTTTGTGGTTCATAATATCCTGGAAGGCTGACTGCTTTATAAATCTTTTCATGGTTATTTAGATAAGCATCAGGATTACTACACTCAATAAAATCTGCTTGGTAATTTTTCTCTTTATTATAAATTTTAGGCCTGGTGTAGGCAATTAAATTTTAAAGATACGACAATATCCTTGTAGATATTATAGTTCAAGTGTGGCTGGAACATGAGAACCTTCACTGTGCAAACCTGAATTGCTTTTTGGAAATATATACTGATGACTCCTGAAGCTCCAGTCCTGCTTTCTCACTGGAGGACTCATCAAAAACAGCAGGTGATGAATTCTGTTTCAGATACATCGAATGTGTTAGAGAGCGAATTAAGGTAGCTGTATAAAAACAAGGGCTTTCTGTTATTTGGAGGCAAATCATTTCATCTCTGAGCATTACTTTCTTTATCTGTACAAAAGGAGTAATAATTGCATGGCCTACCTCACAGGAGTTTTATGAAACAAAATAAATGTATGAGCAAAGGCTTTGTGAACTTTAAGTCAAACTGTACATATTTTACTATTATGCATAAAATCGTTTTATATCCACCACTGCCACTCAAGTAGCATGAGAAATTCTTGCTGTCTCTAAACCAGACCCATGATCTCCTTTAAAACCAGCTCATCTCCAGTTGTTCCTATTTACGTTTATGGTACCCTAAATTCTCCCAGGCACCCACGCTTAGAGACTTGGGTTGTGTTAGAAACCTTGCTCCTCCCACCCACTCTGATCCATGAATGATCAGTCCCTTTCAAAATATATATGTGCTCAGGTTAAGCTCTTGCTTCAAAATCATTGACAATTTCCTATTCTTAAATAAGAAGGTCAAAACATTTAAGTTGTCCCCAAGACCCTGTCTGGGACCCAGGTGTCCTGCCTGGCCCTTCCCCACCCACACTCTTAATAATGAACTCTGCTCCTTCCCATCTACACCTCAGCAGCCTTTTTCGGTGTCGCCAAAGCCCCCGTCCCCTCCAGGGGCATGGCCATTGCCCACACTGGCCCTTTGCTGGACCTCTGTGGCCGTCTGCAGCTGCCTGCCCTCTGCAAAGCTGTCCTGCGATCCCTGGTACTGCTAGTGTGACGGAGGCGCATGGACACGGGCCCTTTCCCTGGGAGCACTTATCACCATTCGAAATGATACGTTACACGCGGTCTCTGCCCCGCTTCCTCAACTGTGAAGTTCATGACGGTGGTGCCTGTTCCACTCCTACACTGGCATCTCAGTGCCTTGCACGTAATGGGAACTTTTTAAAGAAATGAGTAAATCCACTGATATTGGGCCTTCTCCTCACTGTCTACAGATTTTTTTCTAAAACCCTGAAAGCATTTTCTTTGATGCAGGAAAAACAAGAGTGAAAAAAGCTTCTACCTGTTTTCCACATGCCTGTACCTCCACGTCTCCCCCACCCCAGGGGCGTTCCGTGTGACGGCTGAGCAGGCGTCTGAGGAATGGAAGAGCACTGTTCTCCCTGGAATATTTAGGACCCAGGACAAGCAGAAAAAACACGGTATCTGATTTTTATTTTAACCTTTCATCTTACTTGTGAAATTTGTTGTCTAGGAAAGTACTGTAATTCAAGCACAGAGAGAAGCCTGCAGACTCAATGCTCTAAAAGGAGCTGTTTTGCTGTTGCTGCTGTTTCAACGTTAGGGACGGAGAAAGGGTGCCAGCTGTGTTGGGGGAGTTTGGCATTAAATGTGTTGAGTGCAAAGCAGGCCGGGGAAAGAGAATCTGCAGCCGTGAGGAGAGTACCCAGGGCTGACCTTGGGGCACAAACTAGATTTTAGAATTTTGTGGCTCTGATTACTTTAAACCTCATATTTTTAGCCCTTTATAAAGCTTCTTCATATTTCTCATATTAATCAGGCGATCGAGCACAGTAGTTAAGGAGTGACCTAGGAAGGGGTCCTGCAGACCTAGGTTTGGATCCTGGTTCAGTCTCTTAGCAACCATAAGACCCTGGGCAGGCGGAGTAGCCACACCTACCCACAGCTTCCTCATCTGTAAGATGGACAAATGCAAACAGATCCCAGGTCACAATGTCATTGTGAGAATTTAGATGAGACACTCAGCAGTGTGCTTTGCCATGTGGAGAGTCGGTAAAGTCCGCAAGACAGACAACTGCACCCCTTTGTGACAGCCTCCAAGAGTCAAGAGGACACACAGCCTGTGTCGTAGAGCCGAGGACCTGAATGGAAGTCCAACCCCTGCAAACCCCCGCTAATTCTCAGTGTAATGAAATCCCTAGCCGAAGGAGGTACTTTATAATATAGTATGATTGCTCTTCCAAACTATAATCCAAGCAGCAAATTATGTTCAAGCTTCTTCAACTACCTGGAACATAAGAGAATTCCTACCAGTTCTGAGTAGACACCTCTGCTGTGTTGAGGAATAGCTGTCTCCACAATCACAGGTAGGGACCTCTGACCAAACAGGCACTGATGTTTGTCCTCAACAAACAAGGGAAGAGCGAAATCGAGAGCACAGACAGGCCAGCGTTACAGGACAGGGCTCAGCCAACTGCAGCCCGCAGACCGAATCCGCCCTCTGCCTGTCTTTAAGCTTAAAACAAAGGCTTTAAAAACAGCATAGACATGCCCTTCATCCTAACAGAGACCACAGGGCCCACAAAGTCTCCAGTGTTTACTCTCTGGCCCTTCACTGAAAAACTGCCAACCCCTGTTATAGAAGATATAGAACAGGGAAGAATAAACCCTGAAAATATCTTCAAAAGCAAGATTTTGAAGAGTTCTTTTTTCCACACTTCAGTTCTATGAAGAAGGGGTGCTTTAGCTTTTGGGGGAAGTAACAGGTGAACCAACACCCCCCACATGAATAGCAGGGCCTGTAAGTAAAGACCCTGACACGCAGCTACACTGACGTCATGGTCCCATCATCTTTGTCTCCCACCTTGATGAAATCTGCACATCTACAGATAGGAAAGACTTACTGGCATTTTCTCTCCTTTAAGGGGTGCTGCTGGTCTCGAGTCTGGCCCCGACTCCTCCTCTCCTGCCGCTTTCTGACGGAGGGTCTGAGACTCCCAGGTGCTGGGGATCTGCAGACTGCAGTATTGTGACTTCGAGGTGAAGCTGTTGGTGAGTTCTTTGGACTGAGCTTTGCTGAAGGGAAACAAATGTGGGATCATCAAAAACATTCTTCCGTGTGAACAGCCTTTCCAAAGCAGATGTCTACGTTCCAATTATGTGAAAAACAGCAACAGATATGATTTCCTGAGGGCTTATTATATGCTGGGCTCTTTGCTTGGTATTTGAAAGACATTAACTTAATCTGTGCAAGAAAGTCCTTTACTTACCTTGACTTTTTATAAAAAGTAAAAGTAAAGTTACCTTGACTTTTTATAAGAGGCTCAAAATAATTATATACTTTATCCAAGGCCACATAGTGGAGAGCCAGGATTGGAAGTCACATCTGTCTGACTGCTGCTTCAGAAGTTAAACTGCCAGGACAGTGTACCCTGTGCCTTCCTGTGACCAGCAGCAAATACTGCCTTCATCTCTGTAGGCCCATTCATAGTTCTAAGTTTTGGAAGGGGGGGGGGCAGCAGCATCAGCCCTTGGGATCTGCATGGAGGTCCGTGTGCCTGCATCTATTTCACCAGCTCGGATAGGACTGTCAGCGCTCAAGGGACAGCAGGCTTCCCAGAGGCCGCCCAGGGCACCAAGCAGAGGGCATCTGTCATCTCTCCCACTGCCACCACCAACTCACCTTCCTACAAACCTCAGTTGATCATGTCCCTTCCTTATTCAAAAACCTCTTCGCTGTCCACAGACTGAGGTCTGAACTCCCGAACCTGGCCTCCAGGTACTTTAGCGCATGGCCTCATCCCCTGCTGTGTGCCCGTGTGCCCTGAACACTCAGAAGACCTCAATGTTACCTGAAGAACCACGCGTCAAGTCTAGGGGTCCTGATTATACCCTCTGCCTGCAATTTCCTTCCTGACCTGCTGTAGCTAGAAAATGCTACTTTTCCTTCCAGGTTCAATTCAGATGCCCCCTCTTCTGTGGATCAGAATGACAGGCTCAGTTAATGCCCTGTTCGTAACTTAATTGTAGTGCATATTACAGTCTGTCTGGCCTGCAGGCAGCTGCCTGTTTGTCCTCCTCCAGGGGAAGCTCCTTATTCATTTTTGAATTCCCAGTGTCTAGCACAGTGTAAGCACCTCACGGGCCTGCCTACTCAGCTGCCCACATCTAAGCCATCTTCTTTGAAGGGCCTGAAGCATGAACACTCACATCACTGCTGTTCAGCTGTACTGGCCTGCTTTACTCTATCGTGCTTCTGGTGAAGTCAGTGATCGCTGGGAAGACCACATCCAGATCAAAACCAGAATGACAACTGGGAAAATGACACAGCTGATTGAATAGCACCATGGGGAGGAAGGGGATTACCAGAAGTCTAAAGAGACTTCCCAGAGAGATCTAAGTCAGCGACCCTGAAATCCCACCCCACCCTCGCAGGAGAAACTGTGAGCAAGCAGCACCCTGGCCTCATCCCCTGTGGCTTGCAGATCTCATACCTGGGCTCTTCTGCCTCCTGCTGTGCCTTCAGGGCCCTCTCGGCGACAATTTCATCACACAGCACGTCGTAGGGTTTGTCCAGGTGGTGCTCGCCCATCACCCAGACCCAGACCTCTTTATCCGCTCCCAGTTTCCAATGAACGGATTTGCTGTTCTCTGCAAGCAAAACAAACTTCGTATCGAACAAAATCTTCAGGTGGGGGTTAGTATGTTTCCCATCACTACAGGATTTAGGGTCTTTGGGGGAAGAATAATGAGACGAGGAAAGCACTTCCTACTTGCCCAGGATGAGCAGCCTTTTTCTAGGCAGCTGTGGACATGGTGACATTTGGGCGGTGGCTGCAGCAACATTTCTTTTAAAATATGATAAATATGGTTTTCGAATGCATCCATTTTATAGATGAAGAAGGCGCGGTGGGAAGAAAGCGTCCATTATTTGCATCAACATTTAGGGTAGTAGTGCTGACGTCGGCTACCAGAACCCTGGACTCTAAGCACCTCCCTGCGCCCCAGAATTAACAGCTGCTCCAGGGGCTGGTCCCCAGATCTCTCTAGGCTCCATTGCTGGCTGAAAAGCATACACTTTAGAGTTAAATCTTAGCCCTGCCACTTATTAGCTTTGTGACTTGGACGAGTGACTCAGCCTCTTTCAGCCTCAGTTTCCTCCCCTGCAATGTGGGAATACTCATACCTACTGCGCGCAGGGCTGCCGCGGGAGTGGGCAGGCTAGGTACGCCAGCACTTCCCCTCGGTCAGGGTGTCAAACTCATCTTCACCGGGGTCACATCAGCCTTGCAGTTGCCTTCAAAGGGCCGCATGTAATTTTAGGACTGTATAAATGCAACTACTCCTTAATAGTTAAGCGAGAGCTCAGCGCTGCTGCTGGGTAGGAACAGGGTGACAGGCCGGATAAAACCAGGTGCAGGGCCGGATTCCAGGCCCATGGGCCTTGTGTTTGCCACCTGTGCCCTAGTGCCTGCCTCGTACTAGGAGTTCAAGAGAGGTTAACTGCTATCATTACTGTCCTACTGTTTACTTATAGGGCTGCTCAGAGATTCACACCCTCTTGTGAGAAGATAATACTACCGGTAGTGTGATACGTGGTGAAGCTACTTAAATAACCCTTGTTTACAATTGGTCAGAAGGGTTCTGTTACATCCCTGTGCCCTACTCCTGGGACTGGCCGCAGAGGTCACGCTCCCTGAAACCTGGGGAAAGTGGAGCAGAGCTGGGAGAGGCCAAGAGCTGCAGCCGAATCTGAAGGCCCCAGCGCAGAGCCACCCAGGGCCTCCTGGTCCACGGTTGGTCCTGGTCAAAATCCCTGGGCCTCGAGGACCTCAAACCTGGGATCCAGGTATGTGTAAAGGGCACCCAAGTGGAACACAGGCCAGGCCGCGCTTCTAGGTTGGAAATCCACACTGGGATTGTCTTGTCTCCTCACGTTAAGTAGAAGAAGGTTTCCAACGAAAGCATCTTCTGTCCCACGTGTTGTTGCCCTACTTCCTGCTGTTGCCCGGAGTTCGCTGGAGAAGCAGGCCGCTCAGTCCGACCGTGTGTTACGCAGGTGCTTCCCCTCTGCTCGGCGCAGTGGAGACTTCCTCAGACACTGAATAAGATACTGGGTGGGGTGGGGGACGAATCACAGCCTTCACTATGAAAGGAGTAACTGTGTCCTTCAGGAGGAAGCCAACCCCATGCCATTTCACTAGTGGAGACACAGGGAAGGGCTACCCAGGGATGAGGGGAGACCAATCCCGAATGCGCCCTCCTGGGGACAAGCCCTGGCCAGCTGGGCTCTGTTTGGAGAGATGCCAAATGGCTCGTTAACTTTAGAAAGCTGTCACACCTCATAAAACTCCCTTTATCACACTCTCTCGGGGCAACTAATAATATTCTTCACTATGTCCATCTCTCAACCTTCACCTAGTCACACTCTACCATGTTTTTGACAGCAGGAGGGAGATGTCCTGGGAGACTTAGCCGAGTGCCAGGTGGAGGGGCCACGGGGGGACCCAGGAATTCCAGCAGCTCTGCTCAGTACTGCGTGGCACACGCTTCTCCCAAAACCGTCTCCAGAGATGCCCACAAGGTGCAGGCGGGGGCAGAAGGCACTGCCCTGGAGGGTGGGGGAGAGAAATCCCAGAGCTGCCTGGGGGCAGAGCAGGGTCCGTAGAAACTAAGAGAAGAAAACCGAAGGAGAGGACCCAACAGAGTCTCGGTGTTTTAAAAGGAGGTGGGTGGTAGGAGTGTGGTGAAGTTAAAGAAGATTGTGATTTGAGGACAAGAAGAAAGAGAATTAGACACAAAATGTCCGATTTAGCCAGGTGCCAAGAAAAAAAGGAGGGCTCTTGACGGAGTGGCACTGACAGTAACCTCTGTCCTGACCACTCCTCACCCTCAGGAGCTCTCACTCAGGGTCTGACGGCGAAGAGAGTGGAGAGGCTTCAAGGGTTCCACGCACCAGGCTAAAACCTTAGGGGAGGGGGAGCTCCGACACCCTCAGCTTCGTGCCAACGTGAAGGAAGGCATTAAGGCCTCTGTTCAGTTCCCTCCACAAAGACTTGGGAGTTCCCAACTCTGAGCACGAGGCAGAGCTAGATGCTGCAGGGCATTCGTGGATGAAACAGATGTGGCCACTCCCTGCAAGTCACCTAGAGTCTGCGAGGCACCAGGTTACATATTTGATAAACTGTATTGCGTGTCTGCGCTGCACAGGCACTGAGGTAGATGCGTGTGAACACACGAACGACAGCGACCACTTCCTGCCCTCGGGGAACTTTCGTTCCGGCTGGAGGAGGCAGGCTTTGAACAATGAATTAATTCTAAAAGTAACACACTGGGGGAGGGTGGTGTTAAAGGTGCTGAGGTAATGCTTAAGAAGATGAGCTAACCAGTTTGGGAGGCCGTCTTAAGTTCTAAGTCCAACGAGGGTTCAAAGGATGGGGAAATTGCTTTGGAAGGACAGAGAAGAAACAAGAAGAGAAGTTCTCTGCGCTGGGTTTTGGTGGGATATGGAACGTAGACGGGGAGCAGGAAAGGGTTTGGCGCCCAACACAAAGAACAGCGTGAGCGGAGGTCACGGCAGGGAACCGGTGGGGGCCGTGGGGGAAGAAGGGTCTCAGCCAGAGCTGGGAAAGGATTCGCCATCACGTGATCATGGGTGCGGACCGTGCAGGGGGACAGAGGCCCGAGAGGCACAGGTGCTGGACACCTGGCCGGAGGATTTAAGCTCCGGCCCTGCACCGCATAAAGCCAGAAAGGGGCACTGAAGTCCCCGTGTCCCCACCAACTTTCTGTGTGACCATATACATGTCACTTTAGTCCTCTGAGCCTGGGCTCTCTCTTTAATAAGACCGAGGTGGTACCTCCGGCTCCACAGACCCGTCGCACGATAAATGCTCCGGAAATACTAGCTCCATTCCTGGTCGTGTCACCAGTGAAGAACCCGTGCCTGTCTGTGCCAGCGGCACCGGGACAAGAGGAGCGATCTAAGAAGTGCCTGTCAGCATGTGGTGGGCGAGGGTGGTCGCGAGTGGTCAGAGGGGGGAGCTCGGGACTGAGTGGGGAGAGAGGAGGGCTGGGGACACCAGGAGGGGGGCAACCACAGCCTGAATGAGGGAAAGGGCAGCGTCACACAGGACAGTAAGGTCCAGGGGGCTGACTCAAGGAAGGACTCAAAGATGATGCCAACATGTTGAGACTTAGCCACTGGGAGGTCAGTGGGAGGGCAGCAGGAACAGTGACATCAAGAAGATGCTTTTGTTCGAGGAGTTAGAGAGTAGGCTATTTTGGAGATGACAGAAATTATTTTTAATTTTATTAGAAATCTGCACGCAGAGTTTCAGTTGAAACTAAACTACGGACCTGGAGTTCAGAAGCGAGGCTGAGATGGACCATGTGAACTCGAGGGGGGGTGGACTCCACAGATGGCGCTGTTGAGCCGCCGGCACAGATGAACTCACAGGGAGAACAAGGCCTAGAAAAGAGCCTCGGAAAAGCATGTGCTGTGTTCAGGAGGCAGAGGAAAGGGAGGGAAGAGAGAGTGCTGGTCCAGAAGGACACAACACAGAACCAACCGGATTCCGATTCCCAAGGAACTGACCAGTGTGGAAGAAGACGAGGAGAACGCAGGGCCACACGGCCATGGAGGAGGAGAGGAGCAGTGACAAGGACTGAGCCGGATCTTCGGCAGCCTCGGACCTCAGAGAGAACGATGTGGAGGAGGCAGGTGGGGGCAGGCTGAAAAAGGGGGGTAGAAACAGTGGTGAAAGGCAGAGGCTGCGCGTTCCCGCTCTGGAGAAGTTCATCATTTACTGAGTGCACTGCGCGCAGGCCGAGAGACAGAAGGAGCAGGGGTGGAGCCCAGGCGGCTGGAAGATTTCTCTGAACGGGAAACATGGGCGGGTTCCACAGCTGGATCGTAGGACAGATGCCAGGGACCAGGCTCAGGGACCGATGGGTAGAGGGACATGTGGAGAACAAGTAAACGAGAACGTGTTGACGAGGAGAGCAGAGAAGCTCTGGTCTGGCAAGAGCTGAAAACCGGAAGGCACAGAACCACATTTCCATCCCCAAATACTTCCTTAAGGTAAAGGTACAAACTTAAGGGCTCCTAAGCAGGCAGCCACACCCTGTGATTTCGCGGATATGCGGAAGGTAAAAAAATAAATAAATAAGCAAAACAGAAACAGACTCCTGGATACAGAGAACAAACTGACGGTCAGATGGGAGGGGAGTTAGGTGAAGAGGTGAAGGGACTGAGGAGCACAACCTGGCAGTTACAGAATAGACACGGGGGCGTAAAGCACAGCACAGGGACTACAGTCCGTAATACTGCAACAGCTCGGGCGGTGCCGGGTGGGTACTGGACTTACGGGGGCGTCACTCTGTAAGTTACCTAAATGTCTAACCACTATGCTGTACACCTGAAACTAATACAATGTTGAATATAAACTGTAATTGAGAAATATTTTAAAATAAAAAATTAAGCCCTGGCCAATGTGGCTCAGTTGGTTGGTACATTGTCCCAGAACCAAAAGGTCGTGGGTTTCATTTTTAGTCAGGAAACATACATAGGTTGTGGGTTCGATTCCTGGTCTGGGTGCTGATCCCCAGTCCGGGTACAAACGAGAAGCAGCAAATGGATCCTTCTCTCA